TACAGCTTTTAAGTGCCTAGAGTTCTCGCTATGATAGAGTAGATCTTTAACATATTTCAGCTAAGCAAGCGGTTCTGAACCTATGGGTCACGACCCCTGGGAGGGGGGTGGGAGGGGGGTGTCGAGCGACCAGTTCACAGAGTACGCCTAAGACCATCGGAAAACACATATTTACTGAAGTTATGACGTGGTAACAAAAATAATTTTATGGTTTGGGGGTCAAAACAAAATGAGGAAATGTATTAAAGGGTCGCGGCATTAGGAAGGCTGAGAACCACTGAGCTAAGCGATGAATATATTCCCTCCAGTTCGGTTGTTGTTCCAGATACATGGCCCGAAACCTGGTGGTTTGTAAGGTTCTATTACTGTGTCCTTTCAATGTGGTTCCAGTGTGAGCATTTTTCAAAGTTTTACTTTTAATGGAAATTATTGTAATCGTTCATAAAACATTTAAAATGAAACCCAGTTTTATTTAAACTATGTTTGAGACTTCGTTACCCAGATTCTGTAACTTTTTTAATGCACATGAAATGTGTGGGCTATCCTCCGAAAAACGGGCAGTAAAGATGGCGGCCGCAAAATATCCTTTGGAGCCGCAGTCACGTGTCAATTGCGCACTTCCGGCGACTTGATTTGCGGTTTTCCGGCGACTACTGCCACCGCCACCTCCACCGCTCACGCGGCGTGGACTGGGGCTAAACTAGATGGCTAGGACCCACGAGCAGCAGGTTCCGCATCTCCTGAAGCTTTGCTCGTGAGTCCTAGCCATCTAGTTTAGCCCCAATATATGCCACATGAGCGGTGTGGGGGACTCGTGGCGGTGGCGGTAGTCGCCGGAAAACCGCAAATTAAGTCACGTGACTGTGGCTCGAAAGGATATTTTGCGGCCGCCATCTTTACCACCCGTTATTCGGAGGATAGGCAATGTGTGCCTGTACTCCAGATAGCAGCACTAATGGAATACATGGTAGCTTGCTTTTTTTTTCTAAATCTTCGAATACCATTGATATCTCGGAATTCGAACACTTCAAAACTCGAACGTCTTGGAATGCGAACAAAATTTTCAAGTAAATTTTGTATCGGAACTCGAATGTTGCCTTTAAAATCGAACGCCTGGCTCGTGACGATCACGCTTTTGAGTTTACAATTCAAAAGCTTTAGCATCTTTATCTTCAGAAGAAAGAATAAATTGAAGAATAAATCTCTTCCAGGACGTAAGAGGGGGAAGCTGGGAGAATTAGCACTGCTGAAATTCAAGATCTTCTGACCATGTGGTCTAAAACGCAAGAAGTTTTTGAGCGCTAGCACCCTGGGAGAGACCTAATTAACAGGTCTTTTAACGTATTCAACTGTTGTATGGAGCGGAAACATGGAGAACATCTAAGGCAATTACTAATAAACTACAAACATTTATTAACTGGTAACTGTGCAGAATCGAAGGAATGATATGGTATGATGGAATCACTAATGTAGAGCTTTGGGAGAGAACTAAACAATTTCCAGTGGACTAAGAGGTGAGGAAAGACGCTGCCGTTGGATAGGACACGCGTTAAGAGACCGGAAAACAATATAATTAGAATCTTTTTGTACTGGAACCCACAGGGGCATTGAAATAAAGAAAGACCTACAAACATGAAGAAGGGAGCTTGAGAGTAGAGTTACAAATATAGGAAAGACATAGGATGAGCTGCATGCGATAACGAAGGTTATAACTACTTGGCGTGAGTTGGTTGAGGGCCTATGCTCCATTGGTTTCTATAAAGGCAGACGAAGAAGACTGTATTCATTAAAGGTGATTAAACATTTCACATTTTTCAAATTTGCTAAAGCACACGCTGTGTTGTAACTAGACCGGAGCTTGTACTGGTCAACAACGCCTATCTCACCTTCACCTCTGCGCTGAAGTCCAATTACCAGATCCTCAAGCGAGAGCTTACTCAACGTAGACAGAATCGACTTTTCCTTTGAAGTCCTAGTGCCTGAGAGGCGAATAACCAGCCTAGACCTGGACGATTAGGAAAGAATACCAAGAAAAAGAGAGAACACTCAGCCATTTAATATGGCACATGAATCCAACACACTAACAGCGTTGGCGCAAAAAAGCAGTCACAATTATAACCTAAGACTCCTTTTTCGGAAGGAACTGGTTGAAAGTGACGATTTTTGTTTTATTTTTCTCAAAACTGATGATGGCGGAAAGTATACATACAGATAAACAATTTATCTGTGAAACCGGTTGTATTTGCAACATTCAAGCTCTTGAAAAATGCAAGCGTCCAGAAGAAGGCAAGCAACCAGGACTTTTCGCCGGAGTTTGCACTCAGCAGTCCTTACCGCCGCAGGACTATAAGTTACGTTTATGTTTAATCAACGGATCAACAGCATGGCACATGGGTGTAACCAATAAGTTCTCCTTTCTTCTTCTGACTCAAGTCTGAGTCTGAAGGTTATCAACGCAGTTCACGAACTCTGTTGCACCGGCGAAGATCCTAAAAAACTTTGGGTAGATTTTTAACTCCAAATTTTTGCCCGGGCAACTGCTCTTTTTTTTTCGAGTTCCAACTGCCAAGTTATGTTTTACGTGCGCAACAATATACACCAGCATCTGGTCTAACTGCCCAGAGACCAGGGGAAATTACTAGAAGCTCACGTGAATATATCTTAGTCTTCACCGGGGTTTGAACCTGGGACCCCCAGCACTCGAGGCGGATGCCATATCCCGAAACCACTCAGCCTCTCAACGGCTCCATGTAATTTACAGCACCCTAATGTAACCGCCATAAGGGTTCTAATTATTATCCCTTTGGAGGCTGAACGGGGTATCTGGGAGCTGCCTTGCTGGTCAGGGATCTAGCCTGAGATATCTTTTTTTTAAAATCTCAGTCTGGTCAACCTTCAGGGTTCAGTCTAGAGGGGACCAATCGATCTATCAATTTACAAATGGTGAACCATTTATCGTTGCGTGGTCGTTCATCGCAACTTGGGTTTCAGATATGTGTGTGAAAATAGCTGGACTGGCTCGTTGATTTGATGGTGTTCGTATTCTTTCACTAGTTAGTTTTGGTGTTCAATTTAAATGTTCCCTCAGTAGTCAAACTGTTGTGGATATAGACATCAGTGTGCATCACTGCGATATTTGATTTCAGGTCGCTAGAGGTGAACATTTACTTTTGTAAGAAGAAGTGCCTAGCACAAGGCCTGTGTGAACACGATGTTGATCGTTAAAGTATTGTTATCTGTGAAGCACTTTAATTTTGTGTTCAGAAAAATAAACAGGTATTCAATGTGATGATCATTGTTTCATTTTTTAAATTCGGAATAGGACCTGTATTTTGTGTGCCTAGTTTTACTGTTTCTGCTAATTAGACTTTTATTTAGAACATGTCATATCAAGGCTAAGATATTTTAGGTCTAAGTCCCAGCCTAACGAACATTGTTTTTCTTGGTACTAAGGCAGCTCAGTGAACGTTCCGGCTTCCATTCACCACGACACTCTCTGTTGGAGCTCTTATAAGCTGGGAGTAGAGATGGGTTCTAGGAGTAGTTTTATATCATCCTTCATTATGTCTCTCTCACCTTCTTTAAAATAACATCCATTTTTTGCTTTGCTCTCAGTACACAGCCATCATTACGGAATAAACAGGTTGAAAGCATGAGGATAGAGGTGGGGGTAATCACTGCAGCTCTGGTGTGGATAGCAGAAAACAAAGTTACCAGAGGAACTATTGTGTGTGATTCTCAGTCGCTACTGCAGAAGGTTCAAAACAGACAAATGTGGTATGTGTGGATACTAATCATTAATACGCTAACATTGCAGGGTATCACTTGGACATACTGCCCGGGACATACAGGAGGAGTGCGAGGAATTTAAAGAGTTGTTTTCTGGCCACAAAAACGATAGCTACGGGAACACTCGTACTGGACAAGTGAGATATTCTGAAGATCAAATATGAACAAATGTTTATAGAAGAGACGAGATTAGATGTAATAACATGTGTGAGAATGTGTGAACGGCAAATAAGGATTGGTTCCTGGAACGATGGGAGTATAAGAGAAAGAGAACGACTTATGTATAATCAGTGTGTTACGAGAACAGTTGTCATCAATACCTTAAGACACATACTGCCGGAGACGTAGCATATATGGGTATACCTGGTGTACCATGATGACGATTCTTAAATCAGTAATTAATGTGTCTGATAAATACTTTAGTCGAAACCCCCCCCCCCCTCCCCTTTTTTTTATGAATGCTAAAACCCAAATTCATCTGCCATACCTAAAATGGAATAAATAAACAGAGGGGGAACCATTTGAGGCCGTTAAATATTATGAATTGATCAAGTAACAGAAAGTATTGTGAACGGCACTCATAGAAAGAAGTAGAAAGATAGAAGAACACACTAGACAACATAACAATCGAAAACTATAGTTACAGTGCCGGGAATGGTTCCCCCCTAAGGTTTTGCTCTGTTGAAGTGATTGGTGAAGTTATTCTGTTGGTGGCAAAATTAAACATCCTAACCTGAACAGTTAGTGGCTACAGCACTAGTCATGAAATTAAATATAAGTCAGTCATAAATCAGTCAGTAATGTTTGTGTTTAGTGGATTCATTTTTATTAGTTCTTGTCATTTTACATTACATCCCAAACCAACCTTAGCTGGTGGGCAATTTTACTTGACAATTTTACTTTCATAATTTTGCTCTATCTTTCTAAAAGGTAAGCCGCTCATATCGTTGTCAATCTCATAGTTGACTTCTAAACTGCTTAAAAACTAGAAAATGACACTTTTTATAAACCCGGTCATGTGACTACATTTGATCCAATCAGATCACTTTGTAAACACAAGCCTGCACCGGTTTGCCTCTTGGTGCTAAAGATGGTTGACCATTCAAGTGTCCGTTGTTTGTCATGTCCATTGTCTGTCATATCAGTAGAATGACTCAAGCCAGCACATCGACGCAGATGCAGAAACCACAGTTAACTTCAAGAGACTTGCAATGACTGATAGATATCCACGCTTGAGGAGCCCGTCCGGAAGGCGGTACACACCCTCAGACCCTAGCAACGGTGGCGTCGGTGGCAGCAGAGAAGACAATCAAAATGTTGTACGAACGTTACCTGCGTCGACTTCACAGAGTAAAACCGGGCAAATGCAGAGTCTGCTTGGCGAGTTTAAAGTGCTGTATGAAAGTAAACTCAAGAATCTCGACGACGCCGACAAAAGAGGGGAGGAAACGACAAAGGTTAGTTTTCAGCTGTGATCAGTTTGACAGCAGTTTAGTGGGGGGGGGGGGGGGGGGGGGGTGTAAATAAAAATTAGAATAACAAATTTAACCCAGTGAGCATGCTTAAAAAGATCTTAGTTGGCAACTGTGACAGAATGGATCCACAGCATACACAAGTCTCGCCTCTTGGCTGTTCACACCAGGACACATGCCTTGATTGTAACTGACTCACAGAGCATAATGAGGAAGATGGAGACAGGCATGCTTCGTGGAGAGTGGCAAGCATCAATTCAGAGATTCCCCCTAGTTAGCATCCCTTGGATGTTTTCTCCAGGTTATACTGGTGTATTGGGAAATGAGCAGGCATATAGACTGGCCAGCCGGCTCTGCACCACTTGGTGGTGAATTGATGTATGACAAGCTAGATGTTGTGAGAGTCCTTTGGGAGAGAGTGAACAGTGCGGAGGCACAAATAGATCATTACAGTCTGAGCAGAATGGCTCTGCGAGGAGTTACCAGGGGATCTGCTAAAACACTCAGGTGTAGGGCAAGACAGATTTACAATCAGACAGTTACTGGTACTATTTGAACTTTTCGCTTGCTGAAGATTAGGACGGAGCACTTATGGGAGTGTCCCAAGTGCTGTGATGTCGATTCAACATTTAACCAGGACACATCAAGGTGAAGGGTGAAAGAAAATAAAAGAGCTGACAGACTGGCTGTATCTGATGGAAGAAATATGAGCAGTGCATTCATATTGACTGCGCTGCGTTATTATAGACTTTGAGACAGTCAGCCGATGCAGACCCTGTTGAAAATGGGTATTAAATGAATACTAGCATGTAGAAACCAGTTGCAGGGCAAAGAAAGAAGATAAGCCAGTCAAGTCCTGCTGGGTACATTTGTATTCTTCTTAGCATTTACCGGCTGAAAACTGGCTGAGAAAGTTCTAACTGTTAAACCACTTCTGGACATTAGTCATGTTCCAGAACTTGAGTATTGCATGCACATCCATTTTATAATCTGCTTCACCTGTATGGAGACTGTTGATTCCTTGCCTGTGACTTTGAAGGAAAACATCCTTGAACGACATGCTTGTTTGGGGGCAGTGGGTCTCGTCTTCTCACCAAAATAGTGCCCCAGAACTCAAACTGGAAACGGCACGTTGAGCATGGAGAAAGCTAAGATGGTTGCTGCATTAGAGAACAGAGCACGAATGAGTCAGGTTGATTTTTTTAGGATGTGGATACAGACAGCTATGAATAAGATATTTATTTAAACATATCACTCTTTTCAGGACAATAATATATTAAGTCTATATATATAATGCTCTCTTGGCAAGCTTTAGATATTGTCACTTATATGTATGAATCTTTACCTTCATTAGGTACGCACTCGAGTGCTGCAAGCATATGTAAATGATTTGTGTGAGCAGAATGAAGTTCTGGTTCAAACAATAGATGAACTGGAAAGAGAGGCAAATGAGAGAGTTAATGAACTGGAGGACAAATTGCACAAATCTTCTATTTCTGGGAAGGTAAGTGGATAAACCTAGTACACATTATTCATTTTAGAACAGAAGCCTGCAGAGTGTTTTTTTTTCTGTCTTTTTGTTCCATAGGAGCATAAGCTCTCCACCCATATCACTTGTTCTGTTGGGGTTGGATTATGCAACTAATGTTTTCTGTACAACAGTGAGTTCAATCGTCCTTATTTACATCTGTGACACACTTGTAGGTTTCACTTTTACTGTTACTAGCTCCTCCTAAAGGTAATGGAAAAAGAAAATTATTAACTATAATAATTTCAGAGAGATTAATTAATTTTACTGGCAAACAACTAAAAAGTGAACAGGCAGGTTCAAAACAATGTTTTCCCATAATGAATTTAAATAATGCGGACAATAATGCAATAAATTGTGCAATGTATTGTTTGTGTCCACATTATTTAAACAGGCAGGTTTCCAACTAGACAGATCCTGCACTCACCAGATGGTGGTAACATACAGTAAAATAACAAAGCAGCATAGTTAACGGACCTCACTAATTTATGTTAGATTTTTTGGAATAGAAAGAGGCCGTTTACAACATCTATAGAGATGTGGGTATACAGAAGAATAGGTCATATTTCATGGAAACAAAAACAGTCCAATGCAAAGGCTGCAAATGAAAAGAGAATTACTGAAAGAAATGTTTTTTAAAAATAAGAGACAAATACTTTGGCCACAATAAAAGACATAGCATGCTTTTAAAAACCAAACAGGAGGGAAAGGTCGAAGGCAAGAGAGGATGAGGTGTGCAATGATAAAAGTGGGAGGACAAGAGATGGACAGGCAGCAGTGTGAGAGAGTGTACAACCAGGACAAGAGACAGACAGGCAGCAGTGTGAGAGAGTGTACAACCAGGACAAGAGATGGACAGGCAGCCGTGTGAGAGAGTGTACAACCAGGACAAGAGATGGACAGGCAGCAGTGTGAGAGAGTGAACAACCAGGACAAGAGATGGACAGGCAGCAGTGTGAGAGAGTGTAGAACCTGGACAAGAGATGGACAGGCAGCCGTGTGAGAGAGTGTACAACCAGGACAAGAGATGGACAGGCAGCAGTGTGAGAGAGTGAACAACCAGGACAAGAGATGGACAGGCAGCAGTGTGAGAGAGTGTACAACCAGGACAAGAGATGGACAGGCAGCAGTGTGAGAGAGTGTACAACCAGGACAAGAGACGGACAGGCAGCAGTGTGAGAGAGTGTACAACCAGGACAAGAGACAGACAGGCAGCAGTGTGAGAGAGTGTACAACCAGGACATGAGATGGACAGGCAGCAGTGTGAGAGAGTGTACAACCAGGACAAGAGACGGACAGGCAGCAGTGTGAGAGAGTGTACAACCAGGACAAGAGACAGACAGGCAGCAGTGTGAGAGAGTGTACAACCAGGACAAGAGACGGACAGGCAGCAGTGTGAGAGAGTGTACAACCAGGGCAAGAGATGGACAGGCAGCAGTGTGAGAGAGTGTACAACCAAGACAAGAGATGGACAGGCAGCAGTGTGAGAGAGTGTACAACCAGGACAAGAGACAGACAGGCAGCAGTGTGAGAGAGTGTACAACCAGGACAAGAGACAGACAGGCAGCAGTGTGAGAGAGTGTACAACAAGGACAAGAGACAGACAGGCAGCAGTGTGAGAGAGTGTACAACAAGGACAAGAGACAGACAGGCAGCAGTGTGAGAGAGTGTACAACCAAGACAAGAGATGGACAGACAGCAGTGTGAGAGAGTGTACAACCAGGACAAGAGACAGACAGACAGCAGTGTGAGAGAGTGTACAACCAGGACAAGAGACAGACAGGCAGCAGTGTGAGAGAGTGTACAACCAGGACAAAAGACAGAACGTATTGGAGATCCATTGAAGCCAACCCTCACTGTGGAGATGGCACCTGATTAATTGTTTGATTTACAACATTGATAGGAAATCTCTTTGCCAGTTGACGAGGCACTATAAAATGCACATAAGATTACTCATACAAAATGTAAAGCAAAGGACCCTTTTCCACGCCTTAAGGCGTATAGGGCTAGACCTATATTTTTATAGACCAACCGGCACAAGATTGGTGATGTGGTCAATATAAAAAGTAAAAATTAAAGGAAAGATCCCTTTGCCTTTAGTCACATCGGGCATATGCAAAGAGCACTCATATTTTTACAATGTGGTCAGCATCACACCGGCTGTCTTTACTTCCCCAGGACAACCATCCTGGTACCAATTTTAGGCTGGGTCGACCTGCAACGCCCTATACAATGATAAAAATCCATGCAGCCAGCAGTGGGTTTTGATCGCGGTACACTGGAATTATGAGTCAGACTCGCAATGCCTAAGCCACGACACCGCAAAAATATTATTGCCCCAAGACGGGGCACAAACCCACAACCCTGTGATTAAATGTCTCATAGTCTACCGACTGAGCTAGCCGGCCAGACAACAAATAAAAGGTAGCTTGTAAAAACATCAAATGCAGAGTTCTTGAACACCGAAAAGTACATTTGAAATATGATTCACTATGGCTGCCGCCTGATTGTTTTTAAAGTTATAGACTGAATTTTTAGACAGTAGCAACAGTGAAATTCATAATCTGTTTAAATGGCTTATAATTACTAGTATCATAAGGTCAATGACGGCAGTGGTTTTTGACCAATAAAGAGAGTGGCAGATATCGGACAAAAAGTGTATACACAGAAGAGGTTCATAAGAGTAGACTCTGAGCCAAGGCAAAAAGATGTAGGAGAGATAATATTACAGGCAGACCCATGAATACTTGAAGTCACCAACTGGCAAGAGAAGGCCAGTCACAGAGATGAATAGATGCCAGTGATATCTGCAGCTGTGAACCTTAACCGCTCTGAAGAGTGAGGTTTTTGAGGTTTTGAAACAACGGATCAACATCATGGCACACGGGTGTAACCAATAAGTGCTCCATTCTTCTTCTAACTCAAGTCTGAGTCCAAAGAAGCTCAGCACAGTGCACAGACTCTGAGGATCCTGAAATACTTTGGGTAGATTGTTAACTCCAAATTTTGCCCCGGCAGCTCCGTTAGACTACTCTTTTCGATTGCCAACTGCTAAGGGATTTTTTATGTGCGCAACAGTGCACACGGTCGTCGGATCTCACTACCTAGAGACCAGGGGAAATTACTAGAAGTCCAAGTCTACGTGAAAATATCCCAGCCCTTACCCGGGATTGAACCCGGAAGCTCTAGCACTCAAGGCCGACACCATACCTCGAAACCATGCAGCCCACTCTGAAGGCTGAAGAAGAAGAAGAATGGACTGAATTATAAGGGACAACAACAGCTAACTGAAGAGCTGGATACCACTGATGACATTACTCGCCTGTCTCATTCAGAAACAGTTAGTTCTGAGATCCCAGTTTGTTTGAGGGGGAGGGTGGTAGTAGACCCAACCTAGAACTGAGTTTAACTTTTTCAGTCGCACAAGGTTCTAGCTGATGTCCGAGGGGCTTACAGATTGCAGTACTAAACTCATGGGTGTACTGCTTCCAAAGAGACCAAATATGCAACCTTTGGAGGAAACAAATATGTTGTCAGAGTTCTTCAGAGTCCCTCATGAAACATACAATTTAAAAACATACATAACATGTTGACTGGTAAATGTGAATAATACCAAGTCACTCATAGTGTGTTGTTTGGGCTAGGAAGAGTTAAATAATAAGTTTAAAGAAAAATGTAAGTAAAAGCCCCTTTTCCACCCCTTCAGGCGTGTTGGACATATATGACTAGACCTATATTTTTTAGACCAGTCAGCACTCGGTGGGTGATGTCCTCAGTATCACGCTGGCTGGCCGTCTTTACTTCCAAGTACTGCATCTGGTACTCATTTAAGGCTGGGTCGACCTGAGAGCCGAGTTCATTTTTCAAAAAGGTCCGGCTCCGTCATCTCTCGAACCCATGACCTTCCAATCTGCAGGCAAGCGTCTAGCCATTACACCACGGCAACTTCCGAGTTAAAATATAACACTGTGAGAAAGACAGAATTAAAGTAATAATGGAAACAGAGCGGTTTGTTGTAATTACTGGTAGTGGCATGAGTCGTGATAAATTGTGGTCTTTTTCTTCTTAATCTGCGTTTGCCCTTAGGGCAGTTGCCATGTGTTTCACAGCTAGGCTGTGATATCTGCATTTTTAGTCCCAAGACATCCACACTCAGCAAATCCTTAATGATCTTTTTCAGCATGCTTGTTAAGGAGCAGGAGGTCTGTTTTTTCCCTTTAAAAAAATTGGATCCCGGAATTCACGCGCAGACTGTAAAACACAAATAGAAATAAAACAGCACAAATTGAGCTGTTTGGTCTTCTTCTGCTCTTTCTAGCTCCCAATAGAGCATACGCCCTCAACCAACTCACGCCAATTTAGTCTATCCTTCGCCACCACATGCAGCTCTCCCAATGTCCTCCCCATCTTTTTTAACTTCACTCTCTAGCTCCTTTCTCTCTGTATTTTTTTATTTTTAGTCTTCCTTTATTTCTGTGCCACTGTGGGTTCCAGTGCAATGACATTTTAGTTATATTTTTCTTATGTTTTCCCAGTGTGTGTCCTGTCCGAAGCCAGCATCTATTCCTCACCTCCTTGTCAACTAGAACTTGTCTAGTTCTCTTCCAAAGCTCTACATTAGACATCTGCTTGCTTATCTTTGTCACTCTCAGAATATTAAATGGCAAGTTCATAGGGGAAGAGGAAGGCAAGGATGAGGACAGTCTCCTTCAAATGGCACATGTATGACCATTCAAAGAAGCAACATATACTATAGGGAGCTGCTGTTGTGCAGTGACTAGCTGCTTATCTGAAACCCTTAGGTTCCATTCCTCTTCTTCTTCTTCTCCTTCTCTTCCTCTTTTACCGCTTTGATTATTGAGGGAGATATACTGTTCTGTTTCTCACACTTCTAGCTGCCTTGACCATAGACATATTATGTTGTAGAATTTCTCTGATGTTTTTTTTCCCACCTTGTTCTTGGTCTTACGTGTGCT